GCATGAGGCAGGTATGATAAATATGTGCGGATTTTTTTTGTGAGCGACAGTACAGATTCTACGCACGTCTACACAACCAAGGTGTCGCTTACAAATCTCACTTTCCGGATCAAAAATATATTTGAAATGGTCGTAACGACAAATAACGGACATAACGACCAACAGTTTTATTTTGAAAATTGTGAACTTTGGAAATTTCGTCTTTTCATTTGCGTCAACATCAACATGGGCCGTCCGAAAGGAAGTAAGAACAAAAAATCAACCATAAGCCTGGAGGCGACCGGAAGTCAAAGAAACTTCAAACTGCAAAGGAGGAGAAAGCTAAGAGAAGCCATGAGTACTTCCTCTCACGGCAACATCAAAATGATCCATCCTCTGCAAAGTCACCGCACCCTATGGAGGAAGCGATTTTCAAGATTTCAAAAGAACTGATGGCAGAGGTCCTTAACCACCCGTCAATGCCAAAAGGAAAATTTGTCCCAAACCAAGGCCCTGTTGATTTTACAAGTGGGAATGCTTGGGAAGTGAAATATGACGAGGATGATGACAGATCTGCAAATGGAATTGGGGACTACGGAATTGGTGCATCAAGTGATGATGACAAATTATCAGCTTCATCAACAAGGTATCGCCAGTCGTACACGCCAAGGCTGGCTGTAGTAGTATCATGCTAGTACTATCTTGGAAACCCTTTGCCGGACACTTACCTGATTTCTTTCATGGAGGGCCACCCTAGAAACAAAAAATGACTAAAGAACAGGAGACATTTGATAATCTTTCAAAAGCAAAATAAGAAGATCCATTATTTGCTACAGAACTTTGTTCATTCTTAGTACTAATATGCTGGTGCTCAGCTTTTTTAAAAAATTGTGTTTTGTATGGAATTAGAAGCTATGTTGAATGATAAGTCTGTCCTAGTAATCAAGCGACGACGAGGGTGTATTCTTGGGTAAAGTAGTCAAGAAATGGAGACCACTGTGACCATCCTCCTTGACAAACGCAACATACAACAATTAAACACACCTAGAGCGACGCCATTTCTCTTCTGTTTGATGGATTTGCCCCAGCGATGGCTTGATAAGTCTGTAGTAATCAAGTGACGCTGCCAGTGTATTATTGGTTGAATGCAAACCATATCAAGGCATGAGCGACTTGTTTCATCAACATGATGCACAATGGAAGCATCCAACAATCAAACTTACGTTGTTGAGCAACGCCATTTCACTTCTGCTGGATGGATTGTTCTCAGAGATGCCTTGATAAGTCTGTAATAATCAAGCAACGACAACTTGATGAGTCTGTAGTAATCAAGCAACGAGGACTGTGTAATATCAAGACATGAGCGACTTGTTTCATCAACATGGTCGACGATCACAACATATCACAATCAACCTTACCTGGAGCGACGCCATTTCTCTTCTGCTGGATGGAGTCTTCTCAGAGATGGCTTGATGAGTATGTAGTAATCAAGCAACAACGACAATGTATTGTTGAGTAAAGTAGTCAAGCAATAGCGACCACTGTCACGGTCATGAATGCAAATCGCAACCTTCAACAATCAAACTTACCTTGAGGGACACCATTTCTTTTCTTCTGGATCGATTCTCTTCAGAGATGGCTTGATACTAAGTCTGTAGTAATCAAGCAACGACAATGGTGTATTGTTGGGTGAAGTAGTTGAGGATTGATGACCCCCGTCCTCATCTTCATGATTCACAATTGCAACATCCAACAGTCAAACTTACCTTGACATACTCCATTTCTCTTCTGTTCGGTTGATTTGATAAGTCTTCAGCAATCAAGCAACAACGATGGTGTATTGTTGGTTGAATGCAACAAAACCATATCATGACATGAGCGACTTCTTTCATCAATATGATGCACGATGTAAACATCCAACAATCAAACTTAACTTGTTGAGCGACGCCATTTCGCTTCTGCTGGATGGATTGTTCTCAGAGATGGCTTGATGAGTCTGTAATAATCAAGCAACGGCAACATTGTAATGCAACCAATGGCAAACACTGTCATGGTCATGATTGACAATTGCAGCATATCACAATCAACGTTACCTTGAGCAACACCATTTCTCTTCTGCTAGATGGATTCTCCCCAGAGATGGATTGATAACAACTTTACCTGGAGCGACGCCATTTCTCTTCTGCTTGATGGATTCTTCTCAGAGATGGCTTGATAAGTTTGTAGTTACTCAAGCGACGGCGACGGAGTATTGCTGGTTGAATGCCAAACCATATCAAAAGGTATAGTGCGACAAAAATGTTTTGCATTTCATGGACAATGGACTAACTAGACCGAAGTTGTTCTTTGGTTTTTAGTGCTCTTAATTGTTGGAAAAGAAAAAGATTATCATTGGCTTAAGGTTTTCCCTCCACATTTGCTAAGTTTGTAAGCGACAGCTTAGTTTTGATTGGCTGATATACCTTAGTTTCCGGGTTACTTTAGAGGTAGTATTTGATTTTCAAATACTCCAGTGTCGCTTACATCATCCGTGAATGAATACCGTTGGATCACGGATTGCCGTGGCCTTAGTACGAAAAATACGTCGTTTTCAAATACTCCCTGTGCACATATATATCACATGTGCCGCATGAGGCAGGTATGATAAATATGTGCGGATTTTTTTTGTGAGCGACAGTACAGATTCTACGCACGTCTACACAACCAAGGTGTCGCTTACAAATCTCACTTTCCGGATCAAAAATATATTTGAAATGGTCGTAACGACAAATAACGGACATAACGACCAACAGTTTTAATTTGAAAGTTGTGAACTTTGGAAATTTCGTCTTTTCATTTGCGTCAACATCAGCTTGGGCCGTCCGAAAGGAAGTAAGAACAAAAAAAGCAACCATAAGGCTGGAGGCGACCGGAAGTCAAAGGAACTTCAAAGGAGGAAAAAGCTAAGAGAAGCCATGAGTACTTCCTCTCACGGCGACATCAAAATGATCCATCCTCTGCAAAGTCACCACACCCTATGGAGGAAGCGATTTTCAAGATTTCAAAAGAAGTGATGGCAGAGTTCCTTAACCACCCGTCAATGCCAAAAGGAAAATTTATCCCAAACCAAGGCACTGTTGATTTTACAAATGGGAATGCTTGGGAAGTGAAATATGACGAGGATGATGACAGGTCTGCAAATGGAATTGGGGACTACGGAATTGGTGCATCAAGTGATGATGACAAATCATCAGCTTCATCAACAAGGTATCGCCAGTCGTACACGCCGAGCCAAGGGACGCCTTTGTACAAAACCTTCTGCTGGCTGTAGTAGTATCACGCTAGTACTATCTTGGAAACCCTTAGCCGGACACTTACCTGATTTCTTTCATGGAGGGCCACCCTAGAACGGAAAAATGACTAAAGAACATGAGACATTTGATAATCTTTCAAAAGCAAAATAAGAGATCCATTATTTGCTACAGAACTTTGTTCATTCTTAGTACTAATATGCTGGTGCTCAGTTTTTTTTAAAAAGTGTGTTTTGTATGGTATTAGAAGCTATGAGGAATGATAAGTCTGTCCTAGTAATCAAGCGACGACAAGGGTGTATTCTTGGGTAAAGTAGTCAAGTAATGGAGACCACTGTGACCATCCTCCTTGACAAACGCAACATACAACAATTAAACACACCTAGAGCGACGCCATTTCTCTTCTGCTGGATGGAGTCTTCTCAGAGATGGCTTGATGAGTCTGTAGTAATCAAGCAACAACGACAATGTATTGTTGGGTAAAGTAGTCAAGCAATAGCGACCACTGTCACGGTCATGAATGCAAATCGCAACCTTCAACAATCAAACTTACCTTGAGGGACACCATTTCTTTTCTTCTGGATCGATTCTCTTCAGAGATGGCTTGATACAAAGTCTGTAGTAATCAAGCAACGACAATGGTGTATTGTTGGGTGAAGTAGTTGAGTATTGATGACCACCGTCCTCATCTTCATGATTCACAATTGCAACATCTGACAGTCAAACTTACCTTGACATACTCCATTTCTCTTCTGTTTGGTTGATTTGATAAGTCTTCAGCAATCAAGCAACAACGATGGTGTATTGTTGGTTGAATGCAACAAAACCATATCATGACATGAGCGACTTCTTTCATCAATATGATGCACGATGTAAACATCCAACAATCAAACTTAACTTGTTGAGCGACGCCATTTCGCTTCTGCTGGATGGATTGTTCTCAGAGATGGCTTGATGAGTCTGTAATAATCAAGCAACGGCAACATTGTAATGCAACCAATGGCAAACACTGTCATGGTCATGATTGACAATTGCAGCATATCACAATCAACGTTACCTTGAGCAACACCATTTCTCTTCTGCTAGATGGATTCTCCCCAGAGATGGATTGATAACAACTTTACCTGGAGCGACGCCATTTCTCTTCTGCTTGATGGATTCTTCTCAGAGATGGCTTGATAAGTTTGTAGTTACTCAAGCGACGGCGACGGAGTATTGCTGGTTGAATGCCAAACCATATCAAAAGGTATAGTGCGACAAAAATGTTTTGCATTTCATGGACAATGGACTAACTAGACCGAAGTTGTTCTTTGGTTTTTAGTGCTCTTAATTGTTGGAAAAGAAAAAGATTATCATTGGCTTAAGGTTTTCCCTCCACATTTGCTAAGTTTGTAAGCGACAGCTTAGTTTTGATTGGCTGATATACCTTAGTTTCCGGGTTACTTTAGAGGTAGTATTTGATTTTCAAATACTCCAGTGTCGCTTACATCATCCGTGAATGAATACCGTTGGATCACGGATTGCCGTGGCCTTAGTACGAAAAATACGTCGTTTTCAAATACTCCCTGTGCACATATATATCACATGTGCCGCATGAGGCAGGTATGATAAATATGTGCGGATTTTTTTTGTGAGCGACAGTACAGATTCTACGCACGTCTACACAACCAAGGTGTCGCTTACAAATCTCACTTTCCGGATCAAAAATATATTTGAAATGGTCGTAACGACAAATAACGGACATAACGACCAACAGTTTTAATTTGAAAGTTGTGAACTTTGGAAATTTCGTCTTTTCATTTGCGTCAACATCAGCTTGGGCCGTCCGAAAGGAAGTAAGAACAAAAAAAGCAACCATAAGGCTGGAGGCGACCGGAAGTCAAAGGAACTTCAAAGGAGGAAAAAGCTAAGAGAAGCCATGAGTACTTCCTCTCACGGCGACATCAAAATGATCCATCCTCTGCAAAGTCACCACACCCTATGGAGGAAGCGATTTTCAAGATTTCAAAAGAAGTGATGGCAGAGTTCCTTAACCACCCGTCAATGCCAAAAGGAAAATTTATCCCAAACCAAGGCACTGTTGATTTTACAAATGGGAATGCTTGGGAAGTGAAATATGACGAGGATGATGACAGGTCTGCAAATGGAATTGGGGACTACGGAATTGGTGCATCAAGTGATGATGACAAATCATCAGCTTCATCAACAAGGTATCGCCAGTCGTACACGCCGAGCCAAGGGACGCCTTTGTACAAAACCTTCTGCTGGCTGTAGTAGTATCACGCTAGTACTATCTTGGAAACCCTTAGCCGGACACTTACCTGATTTCTTTCATGGAGGGCCACCCTAGAACGGAAAAATGACTAAAGAACATGAGACATTTGATAATCTTTCAAAAGCAAAATAAGAGATCCATTATTTGCTACAGAACTTTGTTCATTCTTAGTACTAATATGCTGGTGCTCAGTTTTTTTTAAAAAGTGTGTTTTGTATGGTATTAGAAGCTATGAGGAATGATAAGTCTGTCCTAGTAATCAAGCGACGACAAGGGTGTATTCTTGGGTAAAGTAGTCAAGTAATGGAGACCACTGTGACCATCCTCCTTGACAAACGCAACATACAACAATTAAACACACCTAGAGCGACGCCATTTCTCTTCTGCTGGATGGAGTCTTCTCAGAGATGGCTTGATGAGTCTGTAGTAATCAAGCAACAACGACAATGTATTGTTGGGTAAAGTAGTCAAGCAATAGCGACCACTGTCACGGTCATGAATGCAAATCGCAACCTTCAACAATCAAACTTACCTTGAGGGACACCATTTCTTTTCTTCTGGATCGATTCTCTTCAGAGATGGCTTGATACAAAGTCTGTAGTAATCAAGCAACGACAATGGTGTATTGTTGGGTGAAGTAGTTGAGTATTGATGACCACCGTCCTCA